ACGTAACGTAACGTAACGTAACGTAACGTAACGTAACGTAACGTACGTACGTACGTACGTACGTACGTACGTACTAGTACGTATAGTAGTAGTAGTGTAGTGTGTGTGTGTGTGTGTAGTAGTAGAGAGAGAGAGAGAGAGAGAGAGAGAGAGAGAGAGGGAGAGAGGGAGATGCATGCACAACACATATGCATGTAACTGATTAAAAATAGGAAAAGTATACAAAGGGACCATTTACTTTTCGCACAAGCTGGTCATAATCACTCTTGTCCTTAAGATGTCAAATCGGGTGGTTATAAGTTTGTCAGACCGACTCAAAGTTAAAAAAAAAGACTTCTCAAACTTCGTGACACACCCCAATCTGTCCAATTTAGCATCTAATGGCTAAGAGTAATTGTGATCTCCTTGTAAGAAAGATAAATGGTCTTATAGTTTACAATCCCTTAAAAATAACACCTATATATGGAAATGTGTATGCTCTTTCATGTTTCTGTTTCATATTTCCAATGTATGTCCAGAGCTTCTGTTCGATTTCCGTTTTGTATGCATTAGAATCATTTGCTTCACTGTATCGAAAATCGAGAAGTGATCTTCTGCTATACTGATGCAGTTTATGGTGAAGAAAGGCCATGTATCAACACCTCATGCTGATTACTGCCTTCCAGGCATTACCCGAGCTACAGTGAGATACTAGACTATTTCTTTTAGCTGAGAGGCCATTTTGATTTGAATGTCTCAAATTTATTGTTCTTCCATACAATGACTTTTGTTGGAACTGTAGCCATATATTTCTTAGAGAAAATATCAATAGGATGGTCAACCCACCTCAAAAAATCAATGAGGTGGTAAATAAAGGGATTTATCAAAACAGTGGTTACTTCAGAAAATCCTTTCACTAAGGTACCTCCTTAACAATTTTGTCAAATGCCCACACACTGGCCCTGTTTGGGGTTTAGAATTCAAAACAAGTGAGAGCATTTTGGAAATTTGGCCTGCTTAAGTCACCCTGGCCAAATGACTTTACCCTGTTGTATTCCCAGCCCAAACCTTTTTCTTTCATTAAAGTCTCTCTCTAGGGTTGGAACTCGGACCAAGTGGGGGCAATTTCATTTTTTGGCTCAACTTCAGTGGCCCAAGCCCGATCACAAAACTACTGCTGGTTGTTCCTGGTTCCAAAAGCAAAAAATGTGTTTTTTTTTTTTAAATCTCTTGTTCTGGGAGATGAATCTAGAATAAGTAGGGGAATTTTTGTATTTGTCCACTTAATCAAGTTGAGCCAAATTACAAAAGCTTGCTTGTTCTAGATTCCAATCCTAGAATAAGCATCGGCAAAATCATGGATAAAGTACCCAAGTAAAAGGATCTTAATAGGGTTACCACTTTATTGGTAAATCAGTTGATTTAACCACTTATTGATTTTGTGGTTTGACCATTTTGGTGATATTGTCTCCATTTGTAATGGGGAAAAATTCCCGTGTTCTTGTTTATTCAAATCAAATGAGAAACAGAAAAGAGAGAGAAATAGTTGGGGAGAGAGAGAGAGAGAGATTGTATGCTTGTACATTGAAAACACTAGCATCCTGTTCTTCTGATATTCAAAATTGCAGGTCATGGATCTTGTGGTGAAAGAAAACTTTCCATTATCAGAGAGGCGTATTAGTTTATCCGAGTTCCATACTGCTGATGAGGTATCCATTTTGCATGTCGTTTGAATTTGAGCACATAAAGAACGTAAATTATTGAATATGAAAAAAATTCTTGTTCAGTTTGTTGAGAACAGATCGTCTCTCTCTGTAGATACTAAAGTGGGATTCCAAAATGGGGGTTGCTATGTTCTGTAGAAGAAAAGAACAAGCACTGGCTTTTTTTGTTCGTAAAAAAAAAAAACTCTGTTTTCTCATTAAAAACAACGGAGAATGCAACTCGTTTTTCCTAAATGTTGCCTGGTATTATTGAATCTGTCTTCACCTCCTGCCCGGCCCAGCAGAAATAGAACCAAACCAAGCCCCCCGTTCTGATCCATTAATCTCTGCAAGCGGAGGTTAAAAAAAAAGATAGAAAGAACCCTATTTTGAATTATGAAATTATCGGAGGGCAGCTTTTTAACCGCATATTTGTGATTATTGCCACTCTCCAGGAGTATTTAAAAACAATAAACTTTCATTATTAGGGATGAGAATATTAATCATGGGAAGTTATACCACGCATCATTGGTGGATGCTATATGATAGATCTCAATGATGGATGGTGGAATTTAGCCATGTGTGGTGAATGTCTGCCTTCAGAAACTACAGTTAATCTCTGCCATCTGTTATTTTGATTGAATGGTTGATAACCTGCGGAAAATGCACTTTTGAGAACTGTGTTTATAGCTTCTTGCTTTTGTTCTTTTAGCAACTGACCGCGATGAGCTGCTTACTGCAGGTTTGGACATCGGGAACAATGGGAGAACTTACTCCGGTAATCTCTTCCTCATTGAAAACCTTTGCTGCAATATGTTACCCTCGAAATCTTTTTAAATGTAACAGCAGTAATTCTAGGTCCTGTTTAGGACTTGTTTTGATTGCATTTGCATCTCCTCTTTCGTGTTTGTGTCCCCTCCCTCTCTCTCTCTCTCTCTCTCTCTCTCTCTCTCTACTACTACTACGTACTACGTACGTACGTACGTACGTACGTACGTACGTCGTACGTACGTTACGTTACGTTACGTTCGTTACTCTCTACTACTACGTACGTACTACGTAACGTAACGTAACGTAACGTTAACGTAACGTAACGTT